CCATCCCCTTTGAACTCCTGAAGGATGTGCAGGCCCAGCCAAGCGGAGGTGTGCTTGTGATCACGCTGCAGGAGAGCCTCTCAGCTCATTGGTGGCAAGAGAAGGCTGGCTGCCAGGCCCCGTGGGAAACCTGACCCTCCACCCTGTCATCCCTCACACTGCTTTTCTGGAGCTTAGGGCAGCCTTGGGCCAGGGCTGAGGTCCATTGCTAGGGAATTTGGTGGCAGAGCAGCTGCTTTGTTAGAAAGGGTCCTTGCAGGAGGCGACCTTTGAACCAGAGTGGCTTTCTCCAGGCCACCCGACCTGTCTTCTGCTTGCTCTGACCAGGACCAAGCTCCAGAGACCAGTCCACGACCCAGACTTACCCTGGAGCGATGGGTGGAGGGGGAGAGAAAAGGGGGGTGAGGGGGGATGCTGAGATCTTTAGAAAAGCAGCTAGGCTCCCGGGGCAAAGGGAGACAGCATATGGCTAGGTGCATGGGGTGCAGCGGGCGCTTCTGAATTGGGAGGGACCCCATCAAGTCTCACTCCTGTGGCTTTTGCCCCCCCTCAGGAGGGCAGGGAAGAGAGGGACCGGCAAGGAGTGAAGAAGGGAGCCCCCAGAGGAAAGCATGTGGACCCAGTGCCTGAGCCACCAACATTCAAGTCTGGTCTGAAGGTGACGCAGGGGCAGAGTGGGGCCTAGATGACCACGGACTGCAGGAGGCGGAAGCACATCATGAGGTCCAGGGGGATGGGCGGCTTCAGGTAGTTCCCATCCAGGCGCAGGTAGCGAAGGTGCGGCACGTTCTCCAGGTCCGAGGAGAAGTCGTGGAAGGCCACCAGGTTGTTGGGGCAAATCTGGGTGCCGTTGATTTCTGCCGGGAGAGAACAGGAGAGGTCAGCGAGAGAGTGGAGTGTGCAGGACAGGGCAGGGCTGGTGGCAAAGTGTGGTGGCAGGCAAAGGGGGCAGGTGACTGGGGAAGGGGTATAGATAGTCTCTTCTTCAGACATGCTGGCATCTAGGATGTGCGACCAGGCAGACCCAGCCTCACCTCCAAGCTTGGCTTCCTCATTCATAAAATGAGTGAAGTTGGAATTGATCGGCAATGCTTGTTATGGAAAAGTTCCTCGGAGGTCAACTGATAGGAGAACCTGTTTGACCTTGTGGAGGCAAAGGAGCTCACAGCTGAGCCTGGGGGCCGTGGGTGCTAGGTGACACTTGGAGATGGGCAGCGGGGAGGGGATCCGTGGCCCAGTCTTGAGGGGCTTTCTCTTATCTCACTCGGGCCTCTTGTCTGCCAGGGCGCTGGGCAGGGCTTGAGAAGGTTGGGTGTACATCAGTAGAAAGAGGGGTCTTGTCACATGAAGGAGCCCTGGTACCACAGTGCTTACGAATTGGCTTCTAACCACAAGGCTAGCAGTTGGAAAGACAGGGCATTCTACTCCCATAAAGAGTTAGTCTCAGAACCCCCCAGGGCAGTTCTACTCTGTCCTGCACGGTCGCTGTGAGTTGGCATCACCTCGGTGGTGTGAGCGCTGAGTCCTAGAGGGGAGAGAAAAACAGGTGAGGTGAGATTTGAAGCCAGGAGGTGGCAATCAGAGTGGCTCTGGAGATTTGCCAGCGACCGGTATCTTGAACCAAAACAGGAGTGGGAGGAAGAGGAATAGGGGACTGGGGGAGTTCTGCAGAGGCCCCGGGGGCTGATGAGTCTGTTGACTGAGAGCCCCTGGGCCTGAGATTCCTTTTGCTTCTTAAGCTGTTGGAGGGTACCAGCGAGGCCCGATGTTCTCTCCAGGCGGCAGCGTTCTTTCTCCCTAGCCCTTGCCCTTTTATCATCAGTGAATGGCTTGCCCTTGTCCTTGCTGCTCATGCTGCCAGCGAGTCACGATGGCGCTAGGTGTGGTGAGGCAGAACACTGCCAGGTCCTGCGTCACCCCCTGCGTCGGGTGTGGATGGGACTCCTGGGCTCCAATGGGCGTTCGTCTCACTGAATTTTCACAAGGCGAGCACCAGGCCTTTCTTCTGAGCTTGTCTTAGACTGGAATCTCCAGGAAACTCATTCCGCATCATAGCAACTCCAAACGCACCCCAAAGCCGGGTGAGGGCTGCGCCGAAGGGCCACTGTCCAGGACCCCAACAGGAGTCTCCTGCCCAGGACGCTGCGGCTGTACCACGGATCCCGCCTCATCTCCATCGCTAGTGCTGAAGCACAGAAAGAGCCCGGCACTGGAGACGGAAGCCTTGGAGCCTCATCCTGGGCCTTCCTCTCACGAGCTTTGAGACTCGGGGCTTATCGCCCTGAAGTTCAGTTCCCCAATGTGTGTGCTGCTGGGTGCGGTGCCTGCGCTTTACAACAGAGGAAGGAACATGGGGAAGGCCTTTGCAAAAAATAAAGGAATAACAACAATAATGGGGAAAGGACAGCAGACAGTGGCATTTGGGGCATGGCGATGAAGTTGTCTTGGCTCCTCTCAGTGCACCCAGCCTGTCGATGGCTCCGGAGACATCCCGGGTGAGGGTAGGGAGGGCGCGTGGGGTGGGGCACAAGCTTGCTGACTTTCACCTCAGAAGGCTGGAGCTGGCCCTACCTCATTCCACCACAGACCTGTCAGCCACTTACATATCCAACTGTCCTTGCTGTCTGTGTTTCCAGCCCGCAGAGCTCCCCCCAGGCAAGGTGGTCTGTTAGTCTGCTGGGGCGGCGCTCCTCACTCCCTGCTTTCACTTGCCTGACGCTTTCAAGAAATCCTCTCCCACTTCGGGTAACAATGGCGGGTCCAGGGAGAGACTGCTGCCACATCCCTGTGTTTGGTAACTGCAGGGACTTCTCTTTCTCTGGTGGGGAAGTTAAGAATTCCTAATAGATTGTGCTAGAGGCCTTTCCCTTTCCACTCGACCCCCTTCTTGACCTCCTTCTTCCTTTCAGCTGTTGAATTCCGGGTGGGGATGGAACCGGATTTCGTTCCAAGACCATCTCGTGTGTTCTTTCTTCAGTTTCCGAATTCTTCGGCTGACGCTCTGCTCAGAACCGACACTTTGGGTTGGAGCAGGAGCCTTACTCCCAGCATCCTCTCCTCTCCTGGGCTGCCCCGATACCACGCACCCAGGAGCCGGCACATGTAGCTTAGGCACAATCTCCCTTGAACGCACTGGCTGATACCAGGACATACGCAACGCTTCCACCAGATTGAGAAAGATCGCTATGCAGACTCTTTTGCTCCGACTGCCGTATTTGTACCATCTGCACCCCCGTGATGAGGCAGCTGCCTCCCTGGGCACATCTTACAGACTGTGTAAAGGCTGGGCTCAGACTTTGGGAAAAAGTGTCCTCCTATCGTGCCACTTTCTGCAACTCGCAAACCAAGGGTGGAAATGTAAACGTCTCGTTTTGCCATGAGGAGTGTGTCCGGAGTGTTTCCATCTCTATCCAACTGATAGGTGTGGAGGACAGAGGGACTGGTGCTGACGAGGTGGGATGGAGGACCAAGAAGGGCCTCTTTCTCCTGGTACTGATGTCATGCGAAGCATGGCACTTTAGGAGTCCTTAGCTGATATGAATGGTTAAGCACTGGGCTACTGACCATAGGGTTGGAGGGTCAAGTCCACCCAGAGGCATCTCAGAAGGAAGGCCTGGCAATCTCTTTCCCAAACTCAGCTATTAAAGACCTGATAGAGCACAGCTCTGCTCTGACACACATGGGGTCCACATGTGCTGGGATTGGCTTGATGGTAACTGGGATTTTAGGTGTTGTAGTGGTAATGAGTTGGGCTGCTGACCCTAAGTTCAGCAGTACGAAACCACCCGCCCTCTGAGGGAGAAAGGATGAGGCTTTCTACTCCTGTAAAGAAAGTTGTATGAGCCCCCAATAAAATGATTAGGGAAAAAAAAAGATCATGGGAGTGGGGAGCAGGGAGGGAGGGGAAAAATGAGGAGCTGATGCCAAGGGCTTAAGCGAAGAGCAAATGTTTTGAGAGAGTTGAAGGCAGCAAATGTGCAAATGTGCTTTAAACAATTGATGTATGTATGGATTGTGATAAGAGTTATATGAACCCCCAATAAAACGATTTAAAAAAAAAGAATGACAGTCTTGGAAACCTACAGGGGCAGCTCCACCCTGTCCTATAGGGAGGCTAGGAGGCAATATGAGTCAGAACAGACTTATGGAAGTGGACTTTTTGGTATCCCCATTAAACTGGGAAATCTTCCCATCAACGTTGTGATGGAAGGCATTATTGCCATCTCCAGTTTACATATCAGGAAACTTCCCAGAGAGGCCAAGGGGCTGCTCAAGGTCACCCAGAAGAGTAAGTGGTGTGGCCGAGATTTGCCCAGTGCCCGAGCCAATCCTCTTGGTGAAGGATTGAAGCTCCTGAGAGAGGGCAGAGGCGGTGAGAGCCTGCACGCTCCTTCCCTGTGTGCCGCCCCCCCTCCCACTCACTTTCAATGGAATTGTTGTCCAGGTACAGGTGCTCCAGCTTGTTATTGATGGCAGGGACGTTGCTGATCATGTTGTGGGACAAGTGGAGCACTAGCAGGTTGGAGATGTTAAAGGAGTTCTTGGGGAGCCCTCTGTCTGACAGCTTGTTGTAGTTGAGCCGGATGAAGGCCAGGTTGGGGAAGTCCTTGAAGTAGTCTCTCGGGATGGTGTCGATCTTGTTGCTGTCCAGGAAGAGCTGGTGGATGGCCGTGGGCACCTTGGGCGGCATCTTTTTCAGGGTGTTGTGGGCCAGGTTGAGCTGCATGAGGTTCTTGAGGCCCTGGAAGGTGTTGGGCTTGAAGACGTGGTCGTTCAGCTTGTTGTGTTGGAGGTCCAAGAGCAGCAGCTTCTCCAGCTTGCTGAAGACCCCGGCTGGGATCTTGGAGATCTGGTTCTGGCTCAGCCTCAGCTGCTCCAGGTTCTTGGGTAAGGCCGAGGGCACCTCTTCCAGTCGGTTTTTCTCCAGGTAGAGGAAGACCAAGCTGGGCAGTTTCTCCAGCACCCGCTGGTCCACTTTACGGATGTGGTTGTTGTCCAGGTTGATCCACCTCAGGCCCGAGGCGTTCTTGAAAGACTCCAGTGGGAGCTCAGAGATGAAGTTGTTCTGCAGGTAAAGGTAGTGGATGCGGGAGGGGATGACAGGGACCTTGCGCAGGTTGCGGCTGTCGCAGTACAGGGCAGATGGGAAGTCGTAGGGGCAGTAGCATTCCCTGGGACAGTCGGCGAAGAAGGACGGAGGACCTGGTGGGAGCGGAGGAGGCAGGTCTGTAGGCTCTGAGGGCTCATGAGGCTGAAGAAAGGGGGGTGTGGGTCTAGGCTTAGGCTTGGGCCTGGGCCTAGATTTGGGTCGTCTTGTTGGCTGGCCTTGGGTCACTGAGGCCAAGAGGAGAAGTGGGAGGAGCCAGCAGAGGGATGACCTCATGATCCAGGTGACTCACCTGTAGGAGAAGGGAGATACAGGAGACTATTAGTCTGCTGGGTATCAGTAATTGGGTGCCTTGTCTTGACAGCTAGAGCTGGCCAGATTGACTCCAGGACAGAGTAGGAACCTGTCAATGCACCTCCTTATTTGCTTGCACCCAACAGGTGAGGGCATCGCAAGAGCTGGGGCTCTGGATCCAACTCCATCCTTCAGTGTGGTCAGCCCGTTCTGGAATGGGTGAACCATCTGCTGACGTCCACTGGGCTTTGAGCCAGGAGCCTGGGGCTTGCAGGAGAAGGTCATTAACCTCTTTGACTCCCCCTCCCCCCATTTATAGAAGAAGAACAGCATCCCTATCTTTGAAAGAGGATTGCTAGGCTATCTGAACCATGACGTCCTGGGGTGCTAAATCTGGAAAGGTCTTTTGAAATCTCCTAGGGTGGTTTTCAAACCACTCCCTCCCCGTGGCCAGTTTCTGCGGAGTCCCCTCCCTCAGCGAGGAGACCGAGTCGATGGCCAGGGGCCACCCCCAGCCCACTCCTGAGCCAACTTGAGCATCTCTGTTTTGAATCTGTTTTATATTTTGAGGCTTCGCCAGAGAATTCATTTGAGAGAGGAAAAAAAAGAAGAAGAAAAGCTTGATTGCTAAAAATGGTTTGAAATTCACCAATCAAGTCCAGAGCCCACTGTTTACAGAAACTAAGGGCTGGAGGGAGGCCAGAAACCACAGCACAACAGGCTCCGGCGAGAAAGCTCAGGTCTCTTGGCTTCCAGAAAATAACTCGGGAGAGCTGGGGAAGAAAGACGGAAAGAAGGAAGGTGCTGAAGACGCCTGACCACCAGTGCTCCGGGCCTGCCCGCTGCCCACTCCCTGACCCCTGCACTTGACCCCAAGAACGCCAGTCCCTGTCAGTGGGAGCTCCACCAAGAACGTCTCCCAGATGTGGAATCTGCGCGGAAACTAAACAGCAAGAGGGTGGGAGGGGTGGGGAAGCACAGTCAGTCTTTCGACTTGGTCCTGCCTATCCACATGGCCCAGGGGTTCTCAATCTGGGGGTCGAGACCTCTTTGGGGGTCAAACGACCCTTTCAAAGGGGTCACCCGATCCACCACAGTAGCAAAATGACAGTGATGAAGTAGCAACGAAAATAATTTGATGGTTGGGGGGGTCACCACATGTGAGGAACTGTATTCCAGGGTCGCAGCACGAGGAAGGTTGAGAACCACTGCTTTAGGGTTTCCCTTCCCGTTAGGAGACAGAGTGAAGGCTAATTGGCCAGCCTGGGAGGGCTCAGAGGTTGTGGTGCCCCACCCATCTGAGGAGGCCCAGAAACAAACAAACAAATTCACTGACATTGAGTCGATACCAACTCATCGGGCCCCTGTGGGTTCTGAGACTGTAACTCTTTATGGGAGTAGAGAGCCCATCTTTATCCCAAGGAGGCCCACAGGGAATCTAACTTTTCCAGGGTTGGGTAGGGAGCCGACTCTCAGTCCTCTGTGACTGCCAGCTGGTGGTAGCAGGTCTGCAGGTCTGCATGCCCTGGTGATCACCAGTCAGGAGGCCAGGGAGGTAGCATCAGACCCAGGCTACAGGAAGAAAGCCTCCTGGTGTCACAGGGGATGAAGTATTGGGCTGGAACCCACAAGCTGCTCTCCGGGAGGAGAGTGGGGAGTTTGGCTTTCATCCAGATTTACAACCGTGGAAACCCACGGGAGCAGTTCTACCCCAAACTATGGGGTCACTATGAGTTAGCACCAAGTCAATACCCCATGACACATGTTCTGGTCCCCAAAAGGGGGTCTCCAGCCTTATTGCTTCCTCTCTCTCTCTCTCTTTCTGTATCTTGCACTCACACCTGTGATGAGTCATCCCTCTCCTCCGGGGCTGGGAGCCTGGGAGAGGCAGGGTCCAGGCTGCAGTGTGTTCTTAGCTTGTTTCTGGACCCCATCCTCCCTCGCCTGCAGTTCTCTCCTGCCTCTCCTTTGAGCTTAGCTTCTTCCTTGCTTGACCCAGCGCTCAGCTGCCTGCTGACTTAGGTCAAAGGAAGACAACAGAAGCCTCTGGCCAGCTGCAAAATTCCCCGGGCTCCTGAATATGGCAGGAAAAAGCAGGAGAGCAGAGCTCA